CTGCTTTAGGCACGAAAGCCGGCTGGGTGACTTTGGGCCAATCACCAGGAGACAACAAATTCTAGTCCTGCTTTAACTATGAAAAGCTATTGGGTGACTTTGGGCCAATCACCAGGAGACTGTGAGTTCTAGTCCTGCCTTAGGCATGCAAGCTGGTTGGGTGACTTTGAGCCAATCACCAGGAGGCTCTGAGTTCTAATCCCGCCTTTATGAAAGCCGGCTGAGCGACTTTGGCTCAGTCTCCCTCCCCTCTCTCTCTCTCTCTCGCAGCCCAACCCACCTTACAGGTTTCTTGTTGTATGGAAAATAGGAGGAGGAAGGAGCATTATGTATGTTTGCCACCTTGAGTTATTTATAAGAATAATAAAGGCAAGATAAAAATACATACATGCAAACAAACAAGGGCATGAACATGACTCTTAGCTGTCAACTACCCTACGGAACAATCAGTTAGGAACATAAGGGTGGAGTTAGGTATTTCATTTCACCCCTCGGAGCAAAAACAGCTTTTAAAAAAAATAAGAATAAGCAGCCGTACATTTGCAACACACCTCTTGCTTTAAGTGCCTCTCTCATTCCACAAGATACTTTCTTGAGGAAGCTGCCTCTGACTCCCTGCCTTGCTTCACAAAAAGCATCTCTGCCACTTGAGGTGATTCCCACACAGAAATCTTTAGCACACACCTAGGAAACCAGAATCAGAATCAGAATAGAAGGGACCCTGGAGGTCTTCTAGTCCAGCCCCCGATCAAGCAGGAGATCCTATACCCGCGATGGCAAACCTAGGGCACCCTCTACGATGGCACACGAGCCGCCGCCCCAGTTCAACTGCGCTGCGCATCCGCACATACCTCCCACCAACGAGCTGGTCTTCAGGTCTCTGCTGCGCATGCGTGGGGGGTGGGGTGCATGTAGGGGGTGTGAGATAAATGCGGGGGCGCACATGCATACGCGGAGCAGGGGGCATTTGGGGAGTTTGCACGTGCTTTGGGCACTTGGTCTGGAAAAGGTTAGTCATCACTGTTCTATACCTGTTGTGGCCTGCCAGCAGCCTGCGCGGATCGTGGCTGATCCCAATGAAGAGGAGGCTGGTCTGGTGTCGCGCCAGCAGCCTGCACAGCCAGCGCTCACGTCGGACAGCGAGGAGGCTGAAAAGGATGTGATGCCAGAGGCAGAGACTCAGCCAGGGCCTTCAGAACCTCCAGAGGCTCCTTCCAGTGGAGAGAGCGAAGTGGAGGAGCCTCTCCTCAATGCTCAGGCACGCAGGGCTGCCAAAAAGCAGGAGTGGCTACTCAGGAGGAGGAGGTCTCCTCGAGAGTGAGATTTGAGGATAATTGGCCACTCCCTTAGCCTATTTAAGTCGCAGGCAGCTAGTGCGTTCTTGCTGGAAACAACTTGTATTATTATCAGAGTATTTTGGTTTATCGTATCTTGTTTTCTGGGCTGGTTGCCAATCTTTGCCGGTCTTGTTTATTCTTGTTACTTAATAAATTTGATAAGGACTATTGGTGTGTGTCAATATCCTCGGAAATCCGGAGCTGGGGCAGAACAATCCCATTTCAGACTGTCTCTTCTTAAAAACCTCCAGTGATGAAGCACCCACAACTTCTGGAGGCCAGCTGTTCCACTGGTTAATTGTTCCGTTAGGAAGTTTCTCCTTAATTCCAGGTTGCTTCTCTCCTTGATTAGTTTCCATCCATTGTTTCTTGTCCTGCCCTCTGGTGCTTTGGGGAATAAGTTGACCCCCTCCTTCTTCTTCGTGGCAACCTCTCAAATACTGGAATACTGCTATCATGTCCCCTTAGTCCTTCTTTTCTCTAGACTGGCCAAACCCAAATCTGGCAAATATCTATGGAGATTCTCAGTCACCCAGGTCATGGATGTCCCAAAGGAAAATAAATATTTTTTTTTTCAAGAGGCAACTGGACTTTCTGGTTTTTCTTTGAAGACATTTTGTTTCTCATCCCAAAAAGTAGAGCTGAAGAAGCTTCTTGGGATGAGAAACGAAACGTCTTCAAAGAAAAAAACCAGAAAGTCCAGTTGCCTCTTGAAAAAAAAGCACCTTTTTTGGGCACAGGGTGGATAAAAATCAATGATTTTTTTTAAAAAAAACATAAAAAATCAGATTTTTTTTATTTAAATTGGATTTTTTTTATTGAAATTGGATTTTTTTGATTTTTATCGAATTTATTTTAATAAAAAACTTTTGGGGTAAAAATCTATGGTAAGGTAGTTTTCTATTTAAGATACCTAAATAATTTAGTTTCTTCAGCATGAAATGGAGCTTAGTTATGTAGCACGAGGCTGTATATTCTGCAACACTGGGACTATCGGTGAGTCAACAGCGGGTCAAAGGAGTAGCAGAGATGACAGTTGCTCTTTAAAAATTACGATTTAAATCGAGTTGATTTAAATCAAGCCTTTTTACTAGCCTTTTTAAATCATGATTTAAATTGTGATTTAAATCAACTCGATTTAAATCAAATCCACCCTGTTTGGGCACGACCAAATCTTTGCAACCGTTCTTCATAGGTTTTAGTCTCCAGGCCTTTCATTATTTTAGTTGCTCTTCTCTGCACTTTTTTTCTCAAAATCTCAGCATCTTTTTTTTTTTTATAATTTTTTTGTAATGTGGCGGCCACATTACAGAAGCCAGAAGTGACAACTAGCCTCCCCTCTCCTCCCCTGTTGGGAGTATCAAATGGAAAGGTGTTAAAAGCATTTTGCTCTCGCCATAAACAACTCTGAAATCTCAGCATGTCCTGTTCGAAGCTTTAGCCGTCCTTTTCAAAGTCTGTCTCCAGAAATGCCTTGCAGCACTTGAAACAGCCTCTAGGGTCCCATCCTAGCATCGAAGGATGGGGAGGGGGCGAACTGCCTTGGGGGCATCAGCTTCGCCTTGAGCCTCAAAAGATCCTGGCTTGCTTTTTCTGCCAGGCAAGGTAGCCAAAGTAGAGAGTTAGGGGTAGAGTTGGGGCACTAAGAGTTGATGATTAACCTCACTCACTCTACTCTGGGCATAAAGCTGTCAAGGGCAATGCAAGCTGGCACCAGCTGTCCCAAATATGAACTCAAGCTTGGCTTTTCCTCAAACCTTCCTGTTATTTTATTTTTGCCTTCCACAGGCAAGGACCAAATCCCACAATCCAAATCGTGTTTTTTGGTTTGTTTTTTTTTCTAGGGCTTCTCAGCTTCAATTATCCAGAAATCAACCAAGCTTGCAAGCAGTGTTAGAAATACCTATCCCGGAATAGCCAAGCAGAACATAAAATGAGTAACTAAGCCTGATATACTGGGGAAGGGGGGATTGTCGTTCTTTGGTGAACCCCAGAAACCTCCCCACTTTTGCAAGGTTCTTCAATCCCACCCCCCAAAACAGAAGCTCCCAGGAGGGTGTTAACATCAACAATAGAGCCTTGGTGACGCAGCAGACTAAAGCACTGTTAAGTAACACCAGCTGCCTGCAATTATTGCAAGTTCAAATCTCACCAGGCTCAAGGTTGACTCAGCCTTCCATCCTTTCGAGGTAGGTAAAATGAGGACCCGGTTTGTGGGGGCAATAAGCTGACTTTGTATAAAAAAGAACACCACTTGGGGGGGGGCGAAAGCCCTACTAAGCAGGTATATACAAAAGTATGAAGGCTATTGCTTAATGCATTGTAAGCCACCCTGAGTCTCCGGAGAAGGGTGGCATATAAATCAAACCAATAAATAAATAAATAAACAACAAGCATCGCAGCAGAAAAAATTTCTCGGCAAGACCAGGCCAGCCCCATAAATGGATTCAATCTCGAATTGCCCACAGCAGCTACACCTGTCCAGCCCAATTCCCTTCATCCTGATCTCTACTTTCTTTTACAACCCCCCCTCCTCTCTTGAAAGAGCATCCTTGTGGGAGGGGGGCACTCCATCTGATCTCCAGGTGAAGAGAAAGCTCTCCAACCCCCCCCCCCAACCAAACGATGCTGCTGACCCAATTCAGAATTTGCAAAGAAAAGAAAAGGGGCATCGGAGTGCCAATTCTAGACGGTAAGAAGAACCACAACGGCTGCCATTCCGAGCCAAGGTGGGTTTGTCAAAAACAGATCGTGCCAGACTAATCTTGTTGCATTCTTTGACAAAAGGACAAAATTAGTGGACCCGAGGAATACTGTCGTATAATTTACTTGGACTTCAGTAAGGCATTTGATAAAGTAAACCATAACCTACTACTAGATCAAGTAGAAAAATGTGGGTTAGACAGCATCGGCACCAGGGCCTGTTCGAGGAAGAGGAGCGGGGGTGGAAAGGACACGCCACGTGTTGCTGGCGGCTCCCTGGCACGTATGATGCCAGAAGTGGTGTCAAGTATTTGCAAGCCATTGGCACATGTGTCATATAGACACCAGTGGAGGCAGAGAGTGTCTCCACCCCTATGTGGAAAGGAGGGGCTTACCCTGAGTATACAACCCACTCCAACCTTTTCCACCAGGCTCTCTCTCTCCATCTCTCTTTTTTCATGTTTGCTCCTCATGAGACTTGATCTCTGTTGTACATAGTTAATATGATTTATCATATGAATAAATACGTTTAAGACATTTATTTATGCATCTGCCTCTGAACTCTTCTATGCTCCCGGGTGTTTCTACGATCCCAAAAAGAGCCTTGATAGTACAGTGGTCTAAGCACCCTGTTATTAACACAGCTGCCTGCAATTACTGCTGGTTCGAATCTCTCCAAGGCTCAAGGTTGACTCAGCCTTCCATCCTTTCTAAGGTAGGTGAAATGAGGACCCAGATTGTGGGGGCAATAAGCTGACTTTGTATAAATATACAAAAGTATGAAGGCTATTGCTTAACACACTGTAAGCCGCCCTGAGTCTCCGGAGAAGGGCGGCATATAAATCAAATAAAAAAATAAAATAAAATAATTCCACAAGTGGAGACCGGCCGCAGAGCTAAGCAAGCGATTTGCGACCAAACCAAAGCCCGACTCTCTGGAAAGGCATTAGAAGTACCCACCAGGCGTTGCTTCTGCCTTTCCCAACTCAGCCGTTCAGGCCGGGCAATCACACCTGGGAGGGAAGGCAGAACTTGTCTCGACTGGCATTTTCCCAGGCTCGGCAGCACTTCCCTCCTGCTCCGCTCCTCTCCGCTCCGACTGAGCCTTCCCCGGCGGGTAGCGGTGGTGATGGAGGCGCAGAGACCGCTGCCCCGCTGAGAGTCGTGATGGGAGAGAGTAGCCGGGCTACGGGGTGGAGAGGTGGGGTGGGGGGCAATCAAAGGGGCCCGGGGCGCCAGACCCGCGAGCCAGAGGGGTACACACACAGGTCTCGGCAATCGTGTGGTCCACCCCGCGTCCGGAGAAAGAGGCGCTTCTCCAGCTGAACTTTCGGGGCAGAGACTTGGCAACGAAGCGGAGGGCAGAGCCAGTTGGAAAAGAGGGGACCGATGTGCCTTCGGGGAAGGGGAGGACGCCCGTTTTGCAGTCGCTCTTCTCTCCCTCCGCCCCCGCACGGCAAATGCCACTCGAGTTGCGCACCTTCCGGAAAGCGGGAGGGGAGGGGGGGTGGAAAGGACCAAGGGCCGGGCATGTGACCCTCCTGCTCTTCGCCCTCCCCCCCCCCCCCCCCCCCCCTCCCGCCCTTTCCCCCCCCCCCCCCCTCCCTCCCTCTCCGGCCACCGCGTGCCTTTCTTTCCGCAGCTCTTGCCCTGAACCCTTCCCTCTTCCTTTCTCCCGGCCCCGTGGGAAGCCGAGCCCCCGCCTGCAGCAAAGCCACCCCGCGACCATCCTCTGCCCCCAAGACCCCAGCCCAAGCCTGCTTCTCTCTCCGGGGGGCGCAAAGGGCCATCTCCGGGAGCTTCCCAGCCTGGGGTCCCTTCCACGGGGCGGTGGCCGCAGCCCCCTTCCCCGGTTCTCCCGCGGACCTCTTCCCACCCACCCAACCAGCCAACCCCCAGACTCACCAGCCGGAGCGAGAAGCCTCCGCGCCGCCACCGCCGGCCCCAGCGCCGCCGCCCGGCTGTCATCTTGTTCGGAGGCGAGAAGAGGAGGAGCCGGCGCCGGTGGCGGCAGAGAAGGCGAACCGCCGTGGAGCTGTCGGCCGGTCGAGAGGCTGGGAGGGAGGGAGGGAGGGAGGAGGAGGAGGAAGAGGAGGGCGAGGGAAGAAGGAGGGAGGGAAGAGGCGCGGCCGGCCCGGCCGAGGGGAGGAGAAAAGCGGGCAGGACCCGAAGCCGGAGCCGCGCCTCCTCCTCTTCCTCCGCCACCACTCTCGGCTTTCCAGGCTCGGAAGGCGCAAGGGAGGCGCATCTCCTGCGCGCGATCCCCGGCTGGTGCCCATCGCAGGGCAGAACCGAGCTTCAGCGCTTTCCCCGGGAGCAGGAGGACAAAACGGCCCATGGGGGACCTCAAGTCCCCTCTGGAGGGTCTTTTAAGGAGGAGGGGGAGAGAGAGAGAGACAGAGAGACAGAGAGACAGAGACAGAGAGAGAGACAGAGAGAGAGAGAAAAGCACTAAGAGAGAAAAACAGATTCAGAGTGAAAGATGGAAGATACAGAGAAAGAGATACAGAGAGAGAGAGAGAGAGAGAGAGAGAGAGAGAGAGAGAGAGAGAGAGAGAGGCGTTTCTGCTTTTTAAGTTACAAGTAAGGGGACGCGGATCCTACAAGGATCCTTTCCCAGCCTTTTGGAAACAGCCGCTCGAACACAAATGTAACAGTAACAGAGTTGGAAGGGACCTTGGGAGGTCATCTAGTCCTACCCCCTGCTCACGCAGGACACCTGTCCTAGGGATTCGAACCGCCGACGCTACAGCCGCCGTTTGGGGATCCTCCACCGGGGCACAGACAAGAGCCCCATCTGTTTTCGCCCGGCTGCAAAACTGCAGGATATATCGATCGTTTTGTTTCCATCCTTTTCTTTAAAAGAGGAGAGGAGGACGTGGGTGCGAGCGGGTGGAAATCTCTCTCTCTCTCTCTCTCTCCTCTCTCTCTCTCTCTCTCTCTCTCTCTCTCTCTCTCTCTCTCTGTGATGATAAAAGAGCGCCCTCAGAGGCGATGGGGGTCGCTAGCTCGGCCCTCGCTGACCTTGGGGAAAGGTCGTAGCCACCAGCTGGATTGTAAAGGTAGAAGCCCGAGCCAGCTGCAAAAGCGAGACCAGCAGATGCACATCAAAAAAAGAAGAAAAGAAAAAAAAACAACGCTGGCAGCTGTTTGCAGGTTATTTGTCAGTAGCTGGCTGTTCCCTGCATGAAAATTAGACTTTTTTTTAAAAAAAAGGGCATCTTTTTTTTTTTTTTAAAAAAAAAACCTGTAAAGTCTTATTTAAATCAATTTCTAATGAGGGTCGTTTTCCTGGGTCATAGTATAATGGGTCTTTGCCCTATTTTACAAGCCAGAGATTTCTTTGTGGTCTCCCATCCAAGGATCATCCAGTCTTCATCTTGCTTTGCTTCCCAGCCCAAGTAAAAGAAGCCAGATGCTGCCACCTACTGAGGGCTGTGGGGTAGGGATACCTAAACAGGTAATTTTCCACTTACTTGGTTTGAAGTTGCAATGAAAACAGGGACTCCCTGATGAAGGGGGGGGGGAAATCCCATTTTAATTCTAAAACCTGAATTAACATATCTGATGAATTATGATAAAACACCGTAAATGGCTTGAGAACCTACCATAGATGGCTTGTAGCCGGGATCCCCAACTCTCGGTCTATGGATTTTAATTTTTTTTTACTACCGGTTCTGTGTGCGTGGCTCAGTGGGCGTAGCCAGAGAAGGATACTGCAAAATCTCCATTCCCACCCCACTCCTGGGGGAAGGATATTGCAAAATCCCCATTCCCACCCACTCCTGGCGGAAGGATATTGCAAAATTTCCATTCCCACCCCACTCTGGGGCCAGCCAGAGGTGGTATTTGCCCGTTCTCCGAACTACTCAAAATTTCCGCTACCAGTTCTCCGGAACCTGTCAGAACCTGCTGAATAGCACCCCTGCTTTGAGAGCAAGAGAAGCTGAGGGTGTATATATTAACCTCATTACCTATCAAAGCAGCTGACTTTTCTTTCAAATATGCAATTAAAGCTTTTAGAGGGCCTTTGAAGGATCAAAGGCATGGTTGCACATTGAAAGAGATGAGATGGAATATGTAAACACAACCAAGTCGATTTCTAAAGCAGAAATATTTCATGTCCCCGGTGGGATATTATGGGCTCTAATCATCACCCAGAAAGGATCTCCGCAGCAGATCAACATTCGTAGGCCAGGCTTTCAAATGTGTTGACTGCCAGCCTTTAGCTCAGATGGAGTCTACTGTGTTAGGAGGACACCCCCAGACTTCAGAAGGATGCCTTTTAAGGTTGCAATTCATAACAGAATAACCCACTTGCCTTCTTCCAACCAGTTTTAGGCGATAAACCATGACTTGAGAATTAGCATCTGCAACACTTCTAATTGGGCTTCCTCAATGAAACCAAAAAGCTCTGACTTCCTATAAGCCAGAGATCCCCAACCTTTCCGGCTGGGGTGACGATTTTGTGTCCCTTCTTGAAAGCTTCCAGTGATGAAGCTCCCACAACTTCCGAAGACGAACTGTTCTATAGGTTGATGGTTCTCACTGTCAGGAAATTTCTCCTTATTTCTAGGTTGAATCTCTCCTTGATCAGTTTCCATCCGTTATCCCTAACAGTGAGAACAATTAACCATTGGAACGGCTTGCCTTCAGAAGTTGTGGATACTTCATCATTGGAGGCTTTTAAAAAGAGACTGGACGGCCACTTGTCTGAAATGGTATGGGATCTCCTGCTTGAGCAGGGGGTTGGACTAGAAGACCTCTAAGATCCCTTCCAGTTCTATTCCGATTGATTGATCTGATGCGAAAGAGAAAAGTTTGTTTCTGAACCTTCCATTGTGAGAAAGCCCAACCAAACACACTTTTTCAAGTAGAATTGAAATTCTTGTTTTGTTGTGACCCAGGCCCAAGTAGTTAGTATTAAATACAAACAATTCGAAAACAGACTTTATTAGAACAGTTGAGAATTAACCCATTCTCAGCGTAGTCCAAATTAAATGAAAGAAAATTCTTCAAAACACCATTCCTCAGTTTATCACCGACCTTGGGATAATTAGGCAAACTGCCAAAGGCTTTTCTTGGCAAAAGTTCAGAAGCAGAAGACTCTGACAAGAAATGAATACAGTGAAACAAGAAGCAATTCTCTCAATATTGTTTTCTGGCAGGGGCCAAGAGCCGTTGCTGGTCTTTTAAGCCTTATGGGAGGGACCAATCATCTCTTGGCCCTACTCCCGAGTCGTCCTCTCTGCTTTAGCTGCTCCTGCCTTCTGGCAGCTCTTCTCATACGTGCACTAGGAACAGGCTCCTCCTGTTCCTCTGCCTCTCTACTGTCAGCCTCTGGAGGCTCCGGAGTCCGCACATCACTCCCCAATGGCCCTGGCCCCATCTTTGCCTCCGACGCAGAGCCCTCATCCGGGCCTTCCCCAGCCTCCAGGACTGGCCCATGTTCTTCCTCAGCCTGTCCGACTCCGCTGCCAGCTCCTCAAGCTGCTGGCAGACCACAACATGTTTATTTATTATTTTATTTATTTATTTTATTAAATTGTTATACCGCCCTTCTCCCGGAGGACTCAGGGCGGTGTACAGCCAGAGATAAAACCCACAACAATATAAAAGTTAAAGGACGAATTAAAAGTATTAAATAATTTGGCCGAAAAAGCTAAAATAAAGACAACCCATTAAAATAGCATTAGGCCAGCCCTGCTTGGTCAAACAATAGCGTGGCGAAAGGTGCAAAGGTCAGGAATCCTACGAATCTCTGGGGGCAGCTCATTCCAGAGGGTAGGTGCCCCCACGGGGGGTCGCCAGTCAACATTGTTTGACCGACGGCACCCTGAGGAGTCCCTCTCTGTGGGAGCATATTGGTCGATGGGAGGCTATCGGTGGCAGAAGGCGGTCTGTAAGTACCTGGGTCCTAAGCCATGGAGCGCTTTAAAGGTGGTGACCAACACCTTAAATCGCACCCGGAAGACCACCGGGAGCCAGTGCAGCTCGTGCAGGAGCGGTGTTACATGGAAGCGTCAAGTCATTCCCATAATCACCCGCGCGGCCACATTCTGGACCAGTTGGAGCCTCCGGGTGCTCTTCAAGGGGAGCCCCATGTAG